GATCCTAGGTTATTCAAAGTTCTTTTTATGTAACTGTAATCATATTGACAACTTCCCTTCATGAATTGAAAGGGACATAAATGGGGGTTAGAAGGAAGAGAATTCCTTCTTTGGGAGAGTGATCTATATGCAAGATCAATTTTTATTAACTTGAGTCATATAACTTGTTTTGAAGGGGAAGATATGACCTACGTAGAACTCCAGCTGAAAATATCAATCTCCCTCCAGCCCTGCTATCAAGATTTGATCTTCTGTGGTTGATCCTGGATCGAGCAGATATGGATAGTGATCTTGAGATGGCAAGGCATGTTGTTTATGTGCACCAGAATAAAGAATCTCCTGCTCTTGGGTTCACTCCACTTGAACCTTCTGTTCTTCGGTAAGTACCAGAATTACTTTTACTTGGAGAACTTGTCTTAAACTTTATAGATGATGCTTCCCACCTGATTAAAGTATAACTTTATGTTAGTCATTTTGCTGACTTAGTTTTTAGTTGTTGTTAACATGCTAAAAATGGTTGCAAAATCATGTGTGCCAGTTTGATAAATTATTAAATCTTTGAAAATTTAGTCTGCATATCTTTTTCTCTTCTTTGCTTCTTTATGAGTTTGAAGGTGCTGGTCTGTTACATTAGTTGATGCTGTCATGTGTGTTCTGTAGATCCTTTTTGTGTTACACTTATTCAGTAGCTACGTGTATTGATATCTTAACATTTTGTTGGTTTTGTGTAAGATCTAACATTATGTTTGTCAGGATCTTCTAAGCGAGGCCCTGACTCCTTTAGCAGTTGTTTTATCTGGCTTTTGTTTTTGTTTTCTAGTGCATATATTTCTGCTGCAAGAAGATTATCACCTTATGTTCCAAAGGAGCTGGAAGAGTATATTGCTACAGCATATTCCAGCATCCGGCAAGAAGAAGCTAAATCAAATACCCCTCATTCATATACTACTGTGAGGACTCTACTCAGCATTCTTCGGATATCAGCAGTAAGTCATCATTTTCTTTACTTTTTTGTGATTATTGATAATACTTTCCTATTTTTTGGTAAACTGGGTGGGGAGAGTGAGTTTTTTTGGGTTGGGCAAAGGGAAAAGGGCAGAAAGGATGTGGGTTGTCTGGATCTGAAATGTAGGTGCCACCCAATGCTCTCAGATTTATTAATTAGGATGAAATTGTCATTTGGATCGACAGTTATAAGTTTTTGTGCAAAAACATCTTCACTTGAGTGGAGTATTCTTTAATCTGAATTGCGAATTAACATAAAATCAATATTATTTTCTCACAGGCGCTAGCAAGGCTTCGTTTCTCTGAAACTGTGGCCCAGAGTGATGTGGATGAGGCTCTTAGGTTGATGCAAATGTCTAAATTCTCTTTGTATTCAGATGATCGTCAGAAATCTGGTCTGGATGCCATCTCTGATATATATTCAATCCTAAGGGATGAAGCTGCAAGGGCTAACAAGATGGATGTGAGCTATGCCCATGCACTGAATTGGATTTCTAGAAAGGTTTGTTCTTGATATATAAGAGTTGAGCTTGAGTTATTGTTGCTTATTATTTAATGAAGTGAAATGCTATCTAAGTGAAAGGCAGTCACCTTCCAAGGCAAGGACGATGTTGTAGACATAGGGTGCCTTAATATGGAATCTTGTTGTCACTGTTTGACTTTTTTCATCTCCAGAAACAAATGACCCATCACTGATATTCTGGGAACTCTGTAGAACTGCAGTTTGATGGGAATAAGCTTTGTCTTAACCTGGCACCTAGGATGAATATAATCTTTGATTATTAGGATGAGGAGATGGTTGGTGTGCGAGCCTATAACCCAGAGTGCTGTTTTTGGCAAATTTTAAGGGTTTTGGTGGTGTATGTCACACTATATGCCCTTACAAGAGATTCCACCAACCACTAAGTAATAGGATTAAAGATGTTTTGATTCATCTATTTAAACAACTCTGGCAGTTGACATTTTTTCGGAGGGTACTTGTGTATTATTTTCTATTCTAGCATCAAAAGCTGCAATATAATGCTGGTGGTCTAGAAGCTAGACCTCAAAAGTTCGATGTTTATTCTTACTGCTTTTTGGATGTGTTTTATGTTTTGGCATGCTAATACTTCTTCTCCCCGAGAGTGAAATGCATATATCTTGTTGTCAAGATTATGTAAAGTTTCTTACAGCTTAAGATTTTTGTTTTAAACAGGGATATGGTGAAGCTCAGTTGAAAGAATGTTTAGAGGAATATGCTGCCTTAAATGTGTGGCAAATACATCCCCACACCTTTGATATTCGGTTTATTGATGCCTGAAGTTCCTGTAAATTAATTGGAGGCAACCCAAACAGGAGAGTAGGCTGCATCCATCAGCACTCAAAGGGAAAAGTGAGTGGGAAGTTTATAATCACATCCGTCGCTTAAGTTGTTGTCCGATGTACCGTTCTTAGTGTAGGTACTCAGCATTGCAGACGTCAATACCAGCTGGTAGAGTTTGTGCTTCATTTGAACCATGAGATATGAAATGATTATTTATAAGCGGAATGAATTTGCTTTGTTAACTAGCCTGATAAAACAATTGTCTTTTACATTATCATTTCTTTAATCTTTCCTTCTGTTGTGTAACACATGGGAATATATTTTGATGGATCCATTGTGAACTGACTGATGGTGGTAAATGAAACAGTGAAATTCTTGAGGACGAGGCCAACTGATTGTTGAAAAGTACAGGATTAAGCTTGCTGGCAACAATTTCTCTGCCTTTCCACTGTGTGCTAGCTCCTAGGTAATCTAGTACGGAATATCTGCTTTGTAAACAGCATCATATTTTCATGGTTTGGGCTATCTTTCATGTTAAAAGAATGTGGTACCGCTGTCTAATATTAATTTCACGAAAAAGGAAAAGGAGAGATGAAATCATGAAGTATGATGAGGTCATAAAAGTTGTGTTTGTTGGGCCTTGGCGGGACGTGCAACCACTTCCACTCCCTCAGGTACCATGTGCGTAGTTCACGTATTCCTTAGTTTCTGCACTAGTAACAATTTTGGCTCCTTTTTTCTGCAGTAATTCAAAATTTAAATTGGTTCCCACCATATTTTAGCCAATTGTCAATCATGATAAATGGGTAATGTAGTTTTGCTTCTAGCTGTGTCGACGTGTACATAGTCTAGTTAGTTATTAATCAAATATCTTGTCGGATGGAATCTTGCTGTGTCATTAGTCATTCCCTTGGAGGAAACAACACTCCTGAGTTTTCTGAAAAAGGTAACTTACCAACTAAAGGAATGGAGTCAGCATAATTTGGCAGAATACCTGAAATTTTTAAGTAAACAAAAATCACTGGATATTGCGGGCCAGTTTGACTCAAGACTTCCGTTTAGTTGAATGTTAACTATTTCTTTGGTGCAACTCTAGTTGATTACTTTTTGTCAGACGAAGGCAACAATATGAGATAAACTAAGTACGTAATTAATTACCCAAAAATAAATGAGAGGAAGTATTCTAAATATCAACCAACACGAAATACGGGAAAAACGGCTAGCAATTCCATAAATCCATTTGGCCACTTTCTGACTTCCAACGAAAAATTTTCCTAATGAAAAGTCAATCGTAACCCTAATTCGGTAACCCTTTAGAGCAGAAAAAGTCAAAGACCGTCTCGAACGCGGGGGCTTGCTTGTCTTTCACTTAATTGGAGCGCTCTCTTTATCAAAACTGGGAGGCGCCCAAATCACTTGTAATTTTCCCTGTTCTATTACTTTACGAGTCCCAATTATTTTCTTGAACTTGTTAATTAATAGCAGGGCTTCAAGCTCTGTCCAAAACTGTTTTTTTTTCTTTTTATTATCCCTCCATTTCCGTGTTCGTTTAGTTCTTTTCTCGTACGCAGAAACCACGACTCCAAATTCTTCCAGAAAACTAGTAAAACGCAGAAATTTCATAATGTAACTTTTAGCTGCTTCTACTTCTCGATTCTCGTTATCTTTCCTCAACCCTCCACTATTTTTTTTTTAATTTCAAATTTTCAATAACTAAAAAAGCTCTCAAAATCAGTGCTGCGAAGTAAAGGAAAGCACGTGCTCGATGCTCGTTATCTAAGCCGACTCTAATTAAGGTAATACGATATTCTTTGATTTTCTACTTTGGATAAAATTACGTTTAGATTCTCCCTGGCTGCTTTCGCATGTGCCTTTTTTATTAGATCTTGAGCCGTTTAATTTTAATTCTGCTGTCGTTTCGGAGTGTTAATAGCTTCCAATTTGATGCTTATTTCGCTAGATATGAGGCAAGATTTTTTTGCTGACTTTTTTTTTTATTTGTTGAATGATTTGCTCATGCAAATGGCTAAAATGTTGAAGTTTTGGGCTTCTCTGTAACAAGTTGAAGGCTTAAATTGAAATTGAAGTTTTCTTTTTCTTTTAAATTTAAAATGTTTAAACCTCTTAAGGATCCTAGTTGTAATTAGGGGTTTTTTTTGTTTTGGATAGCCTAGAAATTTTAGTTAGTATGATAGTTGTAATTAGGCTTCCCGCGATGATATGCTATTACCGGTATCCTTTAACCATTGTTTCTTGTAATTGACCATAAGGGGACTACTTGTTACAAAACCATTTCCATCTTTTATTGATTTGTCAAATGAGTGAAAAGAATTTTGAGCTTGTAATTACACATGACCGCTGTGAACCAGAAATCTTTTCTGTGGTTGCATTTGTGTTTTCTTTAGGGATTTTCTCTTCCTTGTGACTCTTTTTTTCGCACTTCTTGTCCTGGCAACTATTACGAGAATAAGTTATTGGAATTAGGCTATAAATGTCCTACAATTCAGTTACTAGCTGTCCTGGCTACTTTCATGGGACATCCTTGGTATGCCTTTTAGGCTTTTTTTTTTTTTTTTTGTTTAATGAGGATTGCTGATGCCGTGCAATTAATACACTTCCATTATGACTTCATTCTCGCATAACTGCTTTTTTTTTTGGGATAGTCAGGTTGGATTGCACCAAAACATGGACTGGAAGTGTTCATCTTCTGCTGGTGCATCTTCTCTTTGCAAGGCACCTTTGAATGTCTCGACTACAATGCCGGAGAAGGCTCTGGTTGAGCAACAAAGGAGGGTTACTGATCATGCTGCGAAGACTAATGTAGATATAGACCTTAGAGAAATTTACTTCTTGATAATGCAATTTCTGTCAGCTGGCCCTTGCCAGAGAACTTTTGAACAGTTATCAAATGAACTGTTGGAACATCAGCTTTTACCCAGAAGATATCATGCTTGGTTTTCAAGAAGTGGTGCACATAGTGGGAACAATAATGATGATGGCATCTCCTTCCCATTAAGTTATAACAACTTAGTGGAGAGGTATATGTGCATTTTATATCATTTGGTGTTAATCATCAATGTTAGCCGAGAGGTTTTAGCTTTGTAGTTCTGCTTATTGAAAAACTATATACCATTTATGTTTGATGTCATGATAGCTTATATCATATTCCATAATCCTAGCCTCTTAGTACTCACATTTTTCACAGCACCTAACTCCATGTTTTCCCCTTTAAAGAATACTTGCTTGCTAGTTAGTTGTTGTTTTTCTTCTTTTGATGAACAATACAAATTGCTTTTCCCTAAGTGAACCAATTGTACTTGAAAGATATTAGACGTGATTGCTTGCCCTTTGATAGATTAAGTAAGGAACGGTCAGAAAGTCAAACTATGAAGAACAAATCAATGGTGGCATGTTATATTTAACTCTACATCTTATTTAAAATTCTACTGGCATAGATTAGCTTGGACTGAAACAATGTTTTCTTTTATTTATTTACTTTTTTATATTCTCATTAGTTTGTTTGGTCTTGATTCCATTTTCAGGTTACTAAGTCTGCCTTGTATAACTTTCAGGTATCCTCACATTCAGAAGGATCACTTGGTAAAGCTTCTGCAGCAACTATTGTGTACTCTGTGTGGTGAAGTTGTAGGAGATGCCCATGCTCCAAATGCTGCTGATGTCCCTACATTACTGGGATCTGGTTCCTTTTCACTTTTGAATTGTATGTGATACTTCATAGTAATTTATTTGATTCTCTGATTGTACACCCCCCCCCCCCCCCCCTCCCCTCCCCCCCTCCCTTGTTCTACAAAAATAACATGCAACTTTTCTGTTGAGATTGTGTTTGACAGACAATAATTGAAAATTGATGTAGTTGGTATTTGTAATTGATTCTGGAAATATGTTAGGAACATTTAATGAGATTGTTACTTTGGGATGCAGGAAGGGTGATCAGAGTACCGAATTATATATGTGTTTCTCTTCCTTGATTTATTTCGTTAGATTTTTGCATAATCTGTCTGCTTTTTTTTTTGAAAAGCCATAATCTCTCTTCTTATGTTGCAACTTTTACCTTTCTGTTTTGCAGCTGACTCAAGTATGGGAAATAGACAGGGCAAGCCTATTCCTGCCTACCTGCGTTGGCCCCATATGCAAGCTGATCAAGTTCGGGGGCTAAGTATAAGAGAAATTGGTGGAGGTTTCAGAAAGCACCACCGAGCACCCTCTGTTCGCTCTGCATGCTATGCTATTGCTAAACCATCAACCATGGTGCAAAAGATGCAGAATATAAAAAAGTTGAGGGGGCATCGCAATGCTGTCTATTGTGGTATGATCAACTGAACTTACAGTTAGAATCTGCTTTCTGGTGAATTTTGTTCCAGTAGATGTTCCTTGTATGGTATTGTCAGTATCTGAAGAAACCCTCTTGGAATTTGACAGCATTAGTAAAAATGTTGGTGTAGTCAATTTCTTTGCATGTCTAGTAGTGCTTAAGGCTTCCTTTCTTCAAGAATGGTGAAATATGGTGCACATGAAAGCGGTTTAACCAATTTTTTTGGTTAAATATATTTTTCAGTTTTATATTCCGTAGAACTTCAAAGCAGAACAATTGAGGTCATGAAACAGTTTGTTTTATAGTGACTTTTATTGTTCATTTTCAGTAATGGAAAAATCCTTTTCAATAAACATTTTCAGATTTGAACCAAATTGTCTATCTCAATATGTTTTTTAGTGACTTCCATTGATCATTTTTATGGAACAAATGTATTTTGTTTTTACTGATGTTGCTGATTGGAACATGAGAAAGTTCTAGAGAGAGGTTCATGCAGCATGGAAAGGAGATGCTTAACTAAAGATTTGATCATGTAATTTTGTTATATTTTTAATGAGTTCAATTGTGATTTTACAGATTTAAGTCGGTTAGGCTGTTTTATATACAAATTAGTATTGCTTACTTTCTAGAGTATAGGGTATTTTGTATTATATTTTATTAGGGTTTAGGTATTTTAAATACCTAGGGGAAAAATTTATCATCGACTTCAATTATTGTTGGACTGTTTCTATTCTTTTGAACCTAGTTCTTGTTTGAGTTATGTGTAAGTGTGAGTAGTAACTTGGCTGCCGCTGCAATAAGCAATAAAATTGTACTTTCAATATTCTTAGTTATTCCCTGAAATTTGCTGAGTATCTTTTCCTTTTCCTGCCACTTCCCTAAATTTATATTGCTATTTTGGCACCTATGTAATTATTTTAAGACCTTATTTTGCGAAAAAACTCTTTGGAAGTGATGGCATTTCTCCATGAACTTTTACTCCTTGAGTTCACCATTTGGAAGATTTGTATTATCTAAACATCCAAGGATACAATAGTAAACTAAATATATGGTTTTATTATCAAAATAATTGAAAAGGCTTACAACAATCCTTTCTTCTCACAAGAAAGGAATAATGTTACTCCATTTCTCTCCTATTCTTGGTATGAAACTCTATATTAAGTGTAGTATTGATAATGTATCATGTGCATTATCTGCGCAACTGCTCAAGCTTCAATAGGCAATGGACTTAAACAAATGTTGTTTGTGCCTTATAGCTATATTTGATCGCTCTGGGAGATATGTTATTACTGGTTCTGATGATCGCCTTGTCAAAATTTGGTCTATGGAAACTGCATTTTGTTTGGCCAGCTGCCGTGGACATGAAGTGAGTTCATTTTGATATATGAGATTCTTGATATATCAGTGTAGCCTGTAATATTTTATTGCCTTTTCTATATTAACTAAAGCAATTTTCTTGTTACATGTATATGCAGGGTGACATAACGGACCTCGCTGTTAGTTCAAACAATGCTTTGGTGGCATCTGCTTCAAATGATTTTGTGATTCGAGTTGTAAGAATGCCTTGCCTTGCTTTATAATATGCTCCTCTTTCTACTCCTGGATGAGTAAATAGTTCCTTGTGATTTACAGTGGCGCTTGCCGGATGGTTTGCCAGTTTCAGTTCTGCGAGGGCATACTGGAGCTGTTACTGCCATTGCATTTAGTCCCAGGCCTGCCTTCGCTTTCCAGCTTTTATCGTGAGCCTCATTTCCACAGTTGCAGTTTCCTGTTGTAGCTCCTCTCAGTTTGTTGATCTGCTGTGATACTTTAGTCTTTTGTTTAGGTTTAATATATGTTTATTTCATGTGTAAGCTTTTACTTATTCGGTGTTTCTCTAGTTCTTAGAAGCTTTCTCTAAAAGCTTGCAATATAGTGTCTTTGATGTAGATAATTTGTTCTATCATTACTTGGCTGGGAGGCAGCAAATTATAAATTTATGGCACTTCAGTTGATAGTTGATGGTGTTCTTTCTCTGTTAACATTTGTAGGTCATCTGATGATGGGACTTGCCGAATCTGGGATGCCAGGTTTTCGCATTGTAGCCCACAGATATACCTGCCAAAGCCTTCTGAAGCTGTTACTGGTTGGAGGACTGCTTCTAGATTGTTTTGTTAATGGTTGTATTGTTGTATAATATGAACTTACGCTGCAACTGATAAGTTTTATGCAGGGAGGAGCAATTTTCCATATAATAATGGACCTTCCTCAAGTAACGTTCTGCAAAACCATCAGATATTATGCTGTGCATTCAATGTCAATGGGACTGTTTTTGTCACTGGTAGCTCTGACACTTTTGCCAGGGTGCGTCTAAACAGTAAACTTGTCAAATGCATCTTTTGGTTCATCTATAATCATGTTAAATTTATTTAACTTTAATTGATCTATATCACTTAGATTTCTTTAGTAAGAGCTAGAAACTTGCAGGTCTGGAGTGCCTGTAAGCCTAGTACAGATGACTCACAACAACCAGTTCATGAGCTGGATGTTTTGGCAGGCCATGAAAATGATGTTAATTACGTTCAATTTAGGTTGGTCAGTTAGAGTTGTCAGCGACTTTGTTATTAATATTACTATACCTCTTTTTTGCAATGAAATATAATTGCGGCTTTCTGTTTCTGTTTGCAGTGGCTGTGCTGTACCTTCAAGATCCTCAATGTCTGATACAAAGGAGGAGAATGTTCCAAAATTTAAAAATTCCTGGTCTGTAATACCCTCTTCTTACATAATGTGATTTATTGTAACTTAAGACTTTCTTTAGTTGTTCTTTTTCTTCTTCTGTTTATTGTTTTTATGTTTAATTATAGTGGTCTACCTCCTGAGATCTAATTCCTTAAATTTTAATGTTTTTAGGCTCTGTCAGGACAACATTGTTACCTGTTCTCGTGATGGTAGTGCGATCATATGGATTCCCAGATCACGTAGATCCCATGTGAGTTCTTTTGATGAACCACAATCAAGTTCCAGTTAATGCCATCAACTGCAAAATTTTTTTATGAAAAAAAGGAAAAAAACCTCGTTTTGGAGTTGTGTTGCACTTAAAGTCCATGAAGTTTGTAGGGCTGCAATTAAATTCAATAATATGAAACTGAATGAAGATTAATTCCTTTTACAATTCTTCCATTGTTCTAGGGAAAAGTTGGACGTTGGACAAAGGCATATCATCTGAAAGTTCCACCTCCCCCGCTACCTCCTCAACCTCCTCGAGGAGGCCCACGTCAGAGATTTCTCCCAACTCCTCGTGGTGTCAATATGATTGTGTGGAGCCTGGATAATCGTTTTGTTCTAGCAGCTATAATGGGTAAAGTAGTGATCATGGACATGGAAGTTTATTTAAACTCAGCATTAAGATAACATTTCTATCAGAACTTTTCTTCTATTGGTTTATGTGCATTGTATATATCACTATAAAATATATGCTTAAAACCTAGTGGCTTTAGTATTTTGAATTTTATAAGTAATGAATGGTGACACAACATTCTAAAAGCACTTCTCTGGTACATTTATTTTTCTCTATTTTTATAGGAACACGACTCTATGTTTTTCTCTTTGTTGGCATAGTTATTTTGAAATTTCTTTTGGACTGCATCTTAAGATGCCCTTCAGAAGTGCACACCTCTTATTGCAAAAATTTGTTGTGAAAGGCATCTGTTAATCTTGTTCTGCTCTCATCAAGTTATGTTCTAACATCTTACAATTAACTATGAAAGTTGTGAAGGGGAAAATAAACAAGGAAGATGAAAAACTTGCTCTTGTGTAAAGCGTTTGACTGACTCTGTGAATCATTGATGCTTTGCTGTCATGATTTTTTTTTTTAAATTTAAAGTTCTTATAGTAAACCCTATTATCCTTTTTGTAGGGTGTTGCTAATTTTGTCTTAAAATATTTTTGGTATATTGAGTTTTACTTGCAAGCTATAAGAGGCTATTACATATCTTGAGATGCCTTCAGCCTCTTTCCCTGTCAATAAAACAGAATCTTGGAAACCATGTTCATATTAGAATATTTCTGCCGTAAAATGTTGGTAGAACATGCTGAATCTTTTCTCTACTCCATCTTAAACAAAAGGTGTATACTTACTACAGTAAAAAATATAAAAGCCTTCATCATTTTCCTCATCAGAGTTATACGGCCTTTTAGTTTACTGAGTCCAACCCTTAAAATAATTTAGCAGCTGTGTTTTTTTATTTGTTAAACTTCTGTATTTTGAGTCTATCGTGTAATTTTTAGAGCTTATATGCTTTTTCCTCTTACTTTATCCTATAAACCTTTACTGATTATGTTGCCTTGAAGTTGTGGTAAAATGCCCTATTTGTGGTTAATTTTGAGCTGCTTGTTTACAATTGATAATATAGTTCACTGGGGCATCTCAACTATTTGTTGTGAACTCAGATTGCAGAATATGTGTGTGGAATGCTGTTGATGGTAGCTTGGTACATTCTTTGACTGGTCACGTCGCATCAGTAAGTTGTGTTTAGCATTTTCTTGCCCTTCACAGCAGATTCATATGATTGTGGTATTGATTTGTTTGTCCTTTTGTTTTTCTTGTTGATCAAGATAAAACAACTATAGAAAGATGATTTCCTCTGAGGGTATCAGAATCTTATCCTCATTGGAGTTGTTCACCTCTTTTTAAATGCAGTTGATAGCAGGTTTTTAATTTTTTTGCTTTTTTAATTAAGACAATAAGTTGAATAAACTTCATTTCCTTAATCTGAGCTTCACTGTTAAAAATATTCTCAATTAAGAAGATGTAGTTGCTCACCTGATTTCAGTTTTTTGTTCACTCGATTTTAGATGAATGTCATGCAATTAATATTGGTTGGTATGTTCTGATAGTGCTTCACATGTTTGTTGCCTTGGTGTTCTGGGACATCAATTTGTTCAATCCAACTGGTTATCATGATGTTGGAAAGAATTTGTCATTTTAATTCAGTTGCTCACATTGGTTTTGAACTTTTCGCAGTCTTATGTTTTGGATGTCCATCCCTTCAACCCTCGAATTGCTATGAGTGCTGGATATGATGGAAAAACAATAGTTTGGGATGTGAGTTTCTTATTCTTAAAATATTTTCCATTGATCTGTTGACGTTATCTGAAACTGCCAAATTATATATTTATTTATTTGTTAATGCAAGTGCGGACTGTTTATTGAGTTCTTTGGGAACTATATTTCCAGATATGGGAGGGCATACCCATCAGGATATATGAAATTGGTCGTTTTAAGTTGGTTGATGGGAAGTTTTCTCCGTAAGTGAAAATGTTCACCCATTAATTTCTTTTCTTTCTTTAGCTGGAAAGATGACTTACCTTCGTTTATTATTCTGAAAAGGGTTTTTTGTCAAAACATGGATTATTGCCTTGATCTGTCTTATCTAGACAATTACTTGTATCTCTATAGCATTCCATATTTTGGTATGTTTCCATCCATTTTATGATCCTTGACAGCATTTATTCTCTCATCAGACTTGAGTTATATGATCAAGTCAACTAGTTACTGTTTTATTGTTTTTAGATCTTGGTTATATGGGCCTGTTGATGCAATACAAAAAGGCATGTTAAGCTTCTATATGAAATACCTTATGATTCATGTCAGATGCTTAATTCTCTAGTAGTTTATACTTCATGATACAACTGCCAAAAATGCAATTTGGGCCTTTAGAGAGTATCTTACTATTATGTATAATGTATATCTTACTGTAACAGATATGTTCAGCTAGGCTAACCATCTCTTGAGAATGGATTGTATCATGTGAATGTTAGTAGCTTTAACCATTTCTTTTCTGGATTCTGCTTCTTTTCTCACAATTTCTGTTTGCTAAACTTGGATTAGATATGCTTGTCCTCGTTACATTGAATGCTGTTTCTAGCTTTATTAGCATGATATTCCAGCTGTTCTAGTCTGTTTGTCGTTGCTCAACCATGGTATTGTATTCAAAAAGTTGTGGAGCATCAACATGTTCAAGCATGAATTTTATTGAGTTTGACGTTTTACACTTGCCAGAGAGGTGCACGCATGTGCTTACAATTTTGAATAACAACAGTCTAACTAAGACTGCTTTATTAGGTCGTCTGTGCTTGGTGGTTCATATTTTGTAGCTCTTTTGGCTGCAATTGTTTTATTGGGAAAACTAATTACGTATTCTTGTTTTGTGCATCTCAAATCAGAGCTATTTTGTTAAACCTTAAGAATTGTTATTGTGAAGAGACCTGTAGTATTCTTCTTTTTTGTTAATAGGGATGGGACATCGATTGTACTTTCGGATGAAGTTGGGCAGATATATTTGCTGAACACTGGCCAGGGTGAGTCTCAAAAGGATGCCAAGTATGATCAGGTAGCTGAAATCTTTCTTGTAGAGCATATATCCCCTTTTCTCTTTATTTATTTAGTTATTTATGTTTTTTCCTTTTCCCTTCTCTGCTCATAATATAAGTTGGTGTCGTGCAATTGCTTTATGAGGTTGTCTTTCTGTTCTCTTCTGGCAGTTCTTTCTTGGGGACTTTCGCCCCCTTATTTGGGATTCTGGTGGAAATGCTCTTGATCAGGTATGTTGCAACTCCATGTTAAACTAATATGTGGTGGATCTCATATTTGTCAGTCCAGACAGTATCAATTTGCATTGCTCCATAATACACGGACAAGTGAGAGAGTTTTGAAGCATTATTCTTGTTTCTGTGCGATGCTTATGCATCTGTTTGCAACTGATGTGTTATTCACTTAAACTTTGGTGCAGGAGACGCAACTTCCTCCGCATCGAAGGAACATGCAAGATCTTATTTGTGATGCCAGTATGACTAGAACTCCTACTTCTGTAGATTGTTTAGCTTGTTATGCTGACATAATTTAGCTGATGATTTGATGGGAAATTCCAGGCATGATTCCATACCCTGAACCTTATCAGACTATGTACCAGCAACGACGACTTGGTGCCCTGGGTATTGAGTGGCGTCCATCTTCCACAAAGTTTGCTATTGGCCCTGATATCAGTTTAGGCCAGGATTTTGAAATGCCACCCTTGGAAGATTTGGAGAGAATGATGGAACCACCACCTGAGTTGATAGATGCCATGTATTGGGAACCTGAAAATGAAGTTATGAGTGATGACACTGATTCAGAGTACAATGTTGCCGAGGAATGTTCTACAGAAGGTGAACGGGGGGCATTGTGCTTCAGCTCTTCTAGAGGCACAGACAGTAGTGAAGAAGACAGTGATGTTGAATGTAGTCATAAAGATGGCCTTCGCAGATCACGAAGAAGAAAATATAACCCTGAAGTAAGTGGCATTGGTCTTCCACCAGTTTTGATTATTGTTCAGCCCATGGTCAACTGAATTTTATTATTTTCAGGTTGAGGTAAAGACTTCATCAGGGAGGCGAGTCAAAAAGAGATGTTTGGATGAGCATGATGGCTCTATGTCTGGAAACAATAGGACTAAACACTCAAAAAGTGGCAGAAAAGCTTCAAAGAAAAGGTCTTCCAAATCTAAGTCATTGAGACCTCAGAGAGTCGCAGCACAAAATGCTCGAAGCATGATGTCTAGAATCACTGGGACATCTACAGATGGAGAGGATGAAGTTGACTTAGAAGGTGATTCATCTAATAGTGAGTCATTTTCGCAAGATTCAAGTATTGAAAGCAGCGATATTGAGAGAAACTTGGAGAGCATACAACTAATGTCCATGAAAAAAGAACAAGAGTCTGAGGATGTAGCGTGGTCTCATGAACTCCCTGAATCTCAATCTAATGTTGTGAACAGGAAGAGATTGGTCCTAAAGTTCTCTTTACGTGATTCTAAGAAGCGAGAGGCCCCAGAGGCCACCAGATTATTGAACAGTGACAATCAGATCAATTTACTGGACCATTCTGGCCCTGAGGGAACTTTTGATGAGAATGGAAATGCCTGCATCAAAGACCCTGGCTTATCTTGTGCAGATGTGGAGCTGTTGGACCATGACAGGATTGATCTGGCAGATACAAGGCAAGCTATAAATACTGGGGATTATTTAGAGGAATTTGTAGGGGACAAGGAGAACAAAGAGAACAAAATCAGATGGGGTGAGGTTAAAATTCGGACATCAATGCGTTCAAGATCAGGAGATATGATGCCAACTGATGTCCACAATGAAAACAGGATTTCTGCTGTCAATGGGTATGTTAAATCTGAGAATGAATTGGAACTTTTATTCCTAATATAAAAATCCATATTTATGGATATATTTTGTCTTGCAGGGAAGATGGACAGTTAGGGAGTCATGCATTGCAAGATCTGGATAGAGGGACAATGGAAGAGTTTGCTCCTGATGAGGTGCGCAAATCTTTAACATCTGAGTTTCTGTCCCTAAGTGACCACCAACTAAATGGCAGCTGTGATAAATATGGAAATCATGATTCATCACAAACTGATCAGGTCGGTAGTGTTAACCAATCTCATGAATCAAAAGAGATTACTCCACACAAATTGGTGAAATTAAGAATAAGGACAAAAGCAATTTCAGGAGACCTTGGAAGTCCCTCCAAACTAAAATCCCTCACTGTAGTGCATGATCCAACCTGCAGTGGAGGTGATGTGAGGTCCAGAAACACTTTGTCTGTAGACCACAATCCAGATTACCGCATGCAAGAAATAGGTGAAGGTTCTGACAGATCAAGTTCTCTGCATTTATTGCACTCAGGTTTAAATTTGAACAAGATTCATGGGGAAAGCCCATATGAGGACAAAACTGATTCCACAGGTTTAAATGCCATCAATGATCATGATTCAGAAATTGGTTTCAGTGAAGCAGCAGCTGATGCAGTACGTAGAACACGATCCATGAAGATGAAGGCAAGTTCACAGGAACAGCATGCTTGGAACCATAACTTGAAGGTAAGAGGAGAGCATGCTCTAGTGGGGACATCAACGAATGAGGAAAACTTCTCTGTGAAAGCATATAATGGCATTGTACCTGAAGAATGGATGTCAAGTTCCAAAGTGAGAGAGAGATCAAGATCCACTAGAACCAAGCGGGGTGGAGATCATGACAATAACTCAAAATTTTCAACTGGAAGGAAGTCAAATCCTTCTGTTAGAAAATTATCATGGTTGATGTTATCAGAGCAGGAGGAGGGTTATCGTTATATACCCCAGCTGGGTGATGAAGTTGTATATTTCAGACAGGTATGTTATGCTTGCTCTGGATAAGTTGTATTTTCTCTGTACAAACTCAAGCATTACTTTTTTTCACAACTCAGAACATGGATTTTGTTATTTTGCAGGGGCATGAAGAGTGCATTGAATCTGGTCGCTTAAAGGGGCCTGGTCCCTGGAGCTCAAGGGGATACCTGAGTGCAGTGGAAATTTGCAGAGTTGAAAACCTTGCTTATTCCCACTTTCCAGGTTCTGGAGAGAGTTGCTGTAAAATCACACTTAAATATGTAGATAATTCATCACGTGCATTTGGTGATGCATTTATATTGACCCTGCCTGAGTTGATTGGTTTCCCTGATTTTCTTATTGAGAAAACAAGATATGATGCTGCAATGAGGAGAGAATGGACCCGTAGAGATAAATGCCTAGTATGGTGGAAGAACGATAATGGGGAGGGTGGTAGTTGGTGGGATGGTAGAATTGTTGCTTCACAGGCCAAATCTATGGATTTCCCTGATAGTCCTTGGGAAAGATACGAAGTTAGTTACAAGGATGGCTGCAAGTATCGGCACAGTGCTTGGGAACTGCATGATCCTAACTTTCCATGGGAGCACCTGAATATTGATTCTGAAGTCAGGAATAGGCTATTGTCTTCGTTTGCTAAATTAGATCGTTCAGTGAGCAGAAATCAGGTTCTTTTCGAACTACTTATTTCCTTGAAGTTCTGGAATTTGCAGTGAATATTTTGTTTTGAATGTAGAAGAGGATGAGTATTTCCACAAGGTTAAATTTTTTCTTCTGCATTTCAAACGTTGCAGGACTTTTATGGATTTCAGAAACTGAATGAAGCTGCTCAGAAATCAGAATTTCTGAACAGGTATGACTCTCCATTCCACACCTACCCTCGTCGCATTTGTTTCCCTGTTATGCTGCCTCTTCCTACCTTGTCTTCAAAATATCGTCTAATGGCATATATACCTTTTACTTATATCAAGTCACTTTTTTATTCTCATGTTTCTTTTTTTTTTTTTTCGGTTTATGCATTATATTAGTTCCAGTCTTATTAGGAACATAGAAAAGATCAGTGATTTTCACGTATTGAGAAATAATCAATGAGAGAAGTGTAGCGCAAATGACTGAGTAGGATTAATTCTTTTTGATAATTTGAGTGCATTATTACACTTCTCTATAAATTACAGTTTGTGCCAGAACAGACAGACAATTGAACATTTGTTGGCCTGTATTTCATAGGCAACTGAAACATAAATGAATTTTTGGAATTCTTACAGGTTTCCAGTTCCATTGTATCCCGAATTGATCCGGCTTAGGTTAGAGAACAACTATTATCGGACCTTGGAAGCAGTGAAGCATGACATAAACATAATGCTGTCAAATGCGGAGAGTTATTTCGTTCGAAGTTCTCACCTATCTTCCAAGATGAGGCGCCTATCAGATTGGTTTAACAAGACATTGTCAAAATTGTAGGAAGCTGTATAGATTTTTTTTTACCTTTTTCTTTATTTTTTCAATCTTAATTACATCTCTCACAACTCATCCGTCCAATTTTGTAAGACAAATCATTTTTAGGCATTACTGAACACTGATAAAAGAGACGGGGCTCTAAGGGAAAGGGATGCATATCTACTAGATATTTTATTCATTGCATAGATCCATGTCCTTTGTGAGTTCTAGGAAAAATATGCACAGCTGCTGTGGAAAAACATCGTCCATGCTTTTTTTTCTTTTTGGCTAATTTCTGTTTTGATGCGGCAGCCGTGTTTCCGGTGCCAGACGCTTCCGTCGTGATTTTACTTATGGAGGTGTTGATGCAAGTGCTGAATTTTAAACTATTATGTTAAATTAAATGTCGGACTAACGTAATGCTTTAAAAATGTCTGAATTATTTAAGAAATTTTAAATAAATCTATATTTTTTTATTTTATATAATTAAGTTTTTATAATTTTATTTTAAATTATATAAATTTTTATAATTAATTATTAATTAAAATATTATTTATTATTTAATATTTATGTGATATTATATAAATATAAAAATGTCGTATGATTATATTTTTATATTACATTAATAAAATGATAATTAATTAATGAATTAGTAAATTTTTACAGTGTAAGGGTTTATTTAATTTAAAATAAAAATATAAAAATAAAATAAAATAATAATAATAATTTATTTAATTTTTTAAGTATTATATTATAAATTAATTAAAAAATAGGTTTTCAAATGCATTTATTTTTAGTTATAATATCTTAAAAAATTTTAAATTATTTAAGAAAATTTAAATAAGTCTTTATATTTTTTTAAGTTCAAACAAATTTTTATAATTTTTTTTTAAGTTAAATAAATTTTTTTATTTTTATTTTGAATTAAGTCATAATTTTTTATAATTAATTATTAACTTAGTGAAAATGTTATTTATCATTTTACACTTGAGTATTGATATAATATAATAACATATAATAATTAATAATTTAATATTATTATGACATATTAATATATCGTAATTGATGATGACATAATATGTTAATTTGACAAAATAATATGATCATATGATATTGTTTACTATTCACATCAATATTATGTTATATCATGTAGATATTTTTTTAAAAGAATTTATAATATATTGAAAACATAAGGAATTACATATCAACGTTATATTATACCATGTAAATATTTTTTTAAAAAAATTCATAATATATTAAAAAAACAAAGAAGTAAATTTCACTTATGAAACAAAAAAAAGAAAATTCATATTTGTTACTGTTTGAAATTGAGAATAACAGCCTAGAAGCATCTCCAAACGTATCACTTACAAGACTATACAATAGATCAGGAACTCATAGAAACCTGTACACTGAAACTATACCCTGCAACATGAGGCATTCAACTCACCTCCATTCCTCAATTATAAAAAGTCACTTATTTCAACCAATTCATAGGGCATTAACTTGTGTGTACATGTAGCTTGATTGAATGTAAGAATAAAATAAAAATTTATTTAAATGACTTTTTTTTAACAGTATATCAAAAAAATTTAAATCATAATATAGACAATGCTCAAATAGAGTATTTTTCCTTTTACTTTTTGTTAGTGGAACCGTCGAAGTAATTTACATTTGTAACAGGATAAAAGGTGCTACAACCCTTTTCAAAAAAGGTGATGGCACACGCTGTATATATTTACTTGCATTCTCCATTTTTTTTTATTTCTCAATTATATTCAAAATTTTTTGAGCCATTTTCATGCCTATAATTAATTATAAAGGGCGTTTTCTAATTTAGTGATTTTTTTTACCAAAAAATAATTTAGTAAACTTTCCGATGCCTCTGCCACATATTATCTCACGTCTCACGTGCAAGCAAGTTTTTCTCCGCCATACCATTAGCTTAAGGTCCCAAAAACCCTAGTACTTATTTGCACTACTTTAAACTCAAAACCCTAAGTCGAGCTCCCTACCAATTTCCCCTCTTGTCTCTGTGAATCAATCAATCGCGATTTCTGATGGCGGGAGGGAAGATAAAGAAAGAGAGGCAGAAGGGGCAAAGGGCACCTTCCAATCACTACCAAGGAGGTGTCACTTTCCACAAATCCAAAGGCCAACACATCCTCAAAAACCCTCTGCTAGTCGACTCTATTGTCCAAAAAGCCGGCATCAAGAGCACCGATGTCATCCTCGAAATCGGTCCCGGAACGGGAAACCTCACCAAGAAGCTTCTCGAAGCGGGTAAAATGGTAATCGCCGTTGAACTCGATCCTCGTATGGTCCTCGAGCTTCAACGCCGCTTTCAGGGCACCCCTTTCTCTAATCGCTTAAGGGTATCCACTATTTATCTATTTTTCACTTGCGCTTCTTCTTTTTTTAAAATTTTAATTGTTATGAATTGGCTACTATTGACCAAATTGTTTGACCCATTTATTAATTCATGCTCTTTTTTTCCTGTAAAATTCCGAACTTTAGGAGGTTAAGTAGTCAATAACTTGGTAAATTTGAATGTTTTAGAATTGGGAATTTGACAATTTGTATACAATGCTAATGTTTTGCAGGTTATTCAAGGAGATGTGTTGAAGACGGATTTACCCTATTTTGATATATGTGTGGCAAATATTCCATATCAAATATCTTCACCTCTTACATTCAAGTTACTGTTTCATCAGCCTGCTTTTAGGTGTGCTGTTATTATGTTCCAGAGGGAATTCGCTATGCGTCTGGTTGCTCAGCCAGGTGACAATCTTTACTGTCGGCTTTCTGTGAATACCCAATTTTATGCTCGAGTTTCCCATCTCCTTAAAGTTGGGAAGAACAATTTCCGGCCTCCGCCTAAGGTTGATTCTTCTGTTGTAAGAATTGAACCAAGGAAGCCGCGTCCGGAAGTGAACCACAAGGAGTGGGATGGTTTCATAAGGATTTGTTTCATTCGGAAGAATAAAACTCTTGGTTCTATTTCAAGCAAAAAAATGTACTTGCTCTTTTGGAGAAGAATTATAAGACTTTGCAGGCACTGCAGGGCTCGCAAAATGTTTCCTTGGGTGGGAGTGATGATATGGATGTTGCTAGACTAGGGGATCAGAGCATGGAATTGGATGATGGAATGGATGATGGAATGGATGTGGAGTGTGATGAAGCAGAAGGAGAGGTGTCTGAGTTTAAAAATAAGGTTTTAAGTGTGTTGAAGGAGGGAAATTTTGAAGAACAGAGGGCGTCCAAGCTTTCACAAGAAAGTTTTTTAACCTTACTCTCTATGTTCAACAAGGCTGGCATACACTTCTCTTGATTTTGCAACATTACATTCTTTTTTTCCTTTGTCCTCCTTCCTTAAGTAATAGGAATATCCAATTTTGTTTGGCTTGTTTCCATACTAACTAAAGTTAATTAATAGATTCATCAATTTTAAACAATTTTTCTGCCAGGGATGTATTTATGTTGCTTTATATTATCTAGCCAAGCTATTTATTACATACATTCATGCTATGCTATGTGCTATTATTTGTATTGGTTTATCTCATTTATATAAGATATATTATTCAGGCCAATTTTGAATGATTAATGTTTAACAGGGCTGGCATACATTTCTCCTGATTCTACAACAGTCCCCTTTGATTTCTTTTTTATGAGGCTTATATTTTCCCCAGTTAAAGTCCTGCTTTTTTTGGCTTGTTCTCTGATCGACCAGGTCTAATCCTTGGATTTACCATTTAAAACAATTTTCTTGTAGTTATCAATTATTTGGGAGTTCTCTTTTTTCGGTGAAGACCAAGACAAAAAGTACCATTTACTTCATCTTCAGAAAGAAATTGGAACTGTTATTTCTTGAAAGGATGTAATGCAAGGATTCATGTTTTCCATTTTTCTTTTCTTTGTCCTCAGCGATTTTGCATGGATATCTGCCAGTTGACTTTGGCAAATTGTTGTAAATAAGTTTGTTACAAAAAACAAAAGAATTGAACAACTAAGAAGACTACATTCTAAACAGAGCTCAGAGCTGAAAACTGTTCCCGAATTATAAAAATAAAGCATGCATGAATTATTAAATTAAATATTCGGATGTTTAAATAAAAGATTGACAAGGAAAAATGATAAATGGAGACTTAGTTGAAGGGATTTCAGAGGACCCAAACCCATAAATCAAAAGAAGTCAAAATGACGTCGTTTCAACAAAGTCTAAACCCTAACCTAAAGACTAAACGCTTAAACGCGAATCCTCCTGAAACAGCGGAGAGAAACAGAGAGAGCGCAACTCAAAAGAAGTACCAAAAAAGGCCTACGGCTTGGAAATTCTCAGGTAACGGATTATCCTCTTTCTCCTCAAAGTTTTCCTTTTTCTTCATTGTCTTTTCAGCTAAATGTTTACTACATATGATAGGGGTAATGGTAGAACAAATGATAGTAGTTAGCAGTTATCTTCTAGTATTATCACTTTTTTAAAATAATTCATGCAATAGAAACTTTTCAGCTCAGGAGCTGAAGCACTAAATGCTTGAAAAAAGAAACAGAAAAACAAGGCTAGTCCAAAACCAAGGGAAGGATCCTACTCTCCTCTGTTCTAGGCATAGGGTTTTCGGAGGACCCAAGCACTGATTTATGGCTTAAAGATAAAGAAATTAAAAATAAGCTGGATTTCCTTTTAAAAGGCTACCAGATTAATAATTTTCTGCTTGCTTTGATTGGATTCTAATTTTCTGAATTGCCTAAATTTTGTAGAGATTGTGGTAATGGAAGGTCAACCCCAGGTTAAAGCCTCACTTCGGCTTGGTTCTGAATTTTATACGGTGAATGCCAAAAAGGATGGTGCTCTCTCTGAGCAGCTGTCTTCAATGAAAGAAGAAAGCATGAGCATATTGAGGGAATTCATCACCAAACACAATGTTCCCAATGATGTCCCTGATGAGTCGGTCGAGAGCTCTTCTGACGACGAAGAAGAAGTACCCAAGAAGCCTAATGTCAAGTCGAAGAAAGCAAAGATAAATTAGCACTAGCTCTGTATTGCTTCAGAAAATATGTATGGAATTTTTTTAGTGTTCAAGCGCTCCTTGGGTTATTGAATATAAGGGTCAGTCAACTATTTTAAACATTGTGTTGACCAAATGCTTTGTGGAATAGATTTGGAAATGGTAACGACCAAGTTTTGGAGCATGGTAGTTTTAATTGCATGACATAATTATCTTGAAATTTGGTTTGTGATTGTATAGCATTTCTATGAACTTGTTTCTTTGAATTCTCCATTTTACAGTTTGATTTGTGAAATTTTTATCACATTCTCCTGTTAGGAAAGAGTTAGCCTTATGGTTGGTTTGTTCATAAAAGAGCAAGAATTACCATTTTTAGATGAAATGAGGTGAATAAATTTATTGTTGGATTTTAAATTCAGAAGTGAAACTGTGAAAAACCAAAAGCATTGCCCAATCCCCCTTGTTTTGCTGCAAATTGAACTAACCAATCCATCTGTTCAAAGGGTTTCATACTTGCCTATCTTAATCTCAGCCTCATAGGATTCGAATCATTTTCTCTACTGTTTGAGCACTCAATCAAATTGATTTAAAAATATATTTCTATTTCTACAGTCTCTAAATTTTCTGCCCAAATGTATCACTACATCCTTTTGTGGTGGATGTTTTCAATGGCTTCCATCAGTTCTTCTGTATTCAAAGGTTTGCACAAATGAGCATCCATTCCAGCTTGAAGTGTGTTGCTTGCCTCCACACCTGATGTATGAGCAGTTAGTGCGATGATTGGGATGTGAACACCATAACGTTTCTCCTCATTTCTGATCCGTCTTGTTGCTTCATATCCATTCATAATCGGCATCTAGCGCAAACACAGACCATAAGAGCATATTTCATTAGATTATCAAGCTACCATGCATGCCAAATCATGACCAGACACAAAAATTATGCAATGGTAAGAAATCATATAAATTACCTCACAATCCATTAATATATAGTCATAAGGAAGAACATAATGACCTCCATCATTTCTCTGATCTTTAAGACCACTGCAAACTAGTTTTAAAGCTTCCTCTCCATTTTTACAGTGCTCAACATTAGCACCAAGCCGTCTAACAATAACTGTAGCAAGTTTGCCTAACAGCGGGCTATCTTCTGCAATCAAGATTCGTTGCCCGCTCAAGGGCTGCTTGGTACTTGACTCAGCACCATCTTTTTTCATTTCAGTCTGTCCAAGTTGATGAATTGGAGATATTTTTGAGTTCAACCTAACATGAGTGTGAGTTGTAGCAGATGAGAAGTCTTTCTTTCTATGTCGTTCATCGCTTGAGCTAGCATCTTCTTGTATCTCTTCATTATGTAGAGGAGTTCTTGACCTTGGTGTGTAAGAATGCTTTGTCGCTGATGAACTCTCTAGATTAGCTGAAATTCCCTGTGACAAGGTGCCTCCAAATTCTGGAAGAAATTTAATCACTTGATACAAACGAGAACCATGAAAAGGTTGCAACAAAATTTCATCATCAGGATCAAGCCTCTCCTTTTCGAGGCTTATAGAATTGATGCTACGTGAAGTTGGTTTGTCTAACCAAACAACCTTACAAGATATACCGTGAAGGCCTCTTCGAAATTCAGACACAACCCTCCAGAATTCTGAAAATGGTCCTGCATTGGCATCAATGACAAGTAATATGAAGTTTGGTGCACCTCTCCGTTTGTTCAAAGGTAATTTATGCTCTGCCCCGTCCATGGCACTTAAAGGCATATCCTTGGAACTTGTACTAGAAATGTCACTTCTGGAACTCAAATCTAATCTCCTTGAAGAATGGTGAGAGGATATTAGCTTGGATTTTATCTTCTTGAGTGCAGAAGGAAGACTCTCCCATCGATCTACAACCAATACACTTATTCCAAGACTCTCCATAAATTTTTGTGAAATTCTTCGTCGCTCATCAGACTGTATCAAGAGAACAACTTGAGATCCCTCCAACTTGGTACTTGGACTACGAATGGGAAGTCTGGGACTCGAAGTTCGAACGGTCAATCTAGGACTAGGACTGTGGATGGTCAACCCTGAATGTTGTTGCGTGCCACCCAACATAGGACCACCTTGAGACTCCTTTTCCCCTTCCGAAGTGCTGGGGGAAGTCTCCATTGTAGTGAGGAAAACATTGAATCTGAAGCAAGTCCCCTTTTCACCAATCTCTTTATCAACAATTCCAATCTCTCCACCCATTAGACGTACCTTAGAGGAAGTTAAAGCCCTGAATTATTAATTAAGACAAACTTAAAAGGTATCTCACGTACACAATAAAACTAGTTTGTGACTTACCAGAGATTGAACAATACCAAGACCTAAGCCAGTGCCTACTTGTCCAGTGGCTGTTTCTTTGACCTGAACAAAGTTTTCAAAAACAGATTGTTGTTTCTCTTTCGGAATCCCTTTACCTGTATCATCCACCTCGAACACAAACTCCATGGAATTAGGATTCTGTCTAACCGCAGTTATGACTTCCATGTCACTGCACGCTTCATTGATATTTTGAAACAAGCAGGATAAATACTTGTGCAGACCATTCCGGCCAGAAGCAAGTATTGCACTTTCAATATCAGGCTTTTGGACCCAAGCTCGAAGAGACACATGTCCTTCAGGAGTAAATTTAACAGCATTGCTCAGTACATTACTTAATATTTGCATGAGTTTCCCTCTATCACCTTTCACTTGGGAAAACTTGATAACAGATCCATCACAAGGGTCCAAAACCACATCTACTCCTTTTTTCGTACCCACAGGATGATACAAATCAACTAAGTGTTCAAGTAGTTCGGCCAAATTGAATTCTTCTTCTTCCAAATTCATCATGCCAGCTTCAATTTTGCTTGTATCAAGTATAGAATTTAGTAAGCCTGAAAACTTTTGAGCAGTTAATACTGAGGCAAGATAAGAGATAACTAAGAAGTTTATGTGAAGACAGAAGAAGAGATTTTCAACAAAAGCCAACTGAATTACCTAATAGATCCTGTGCACAGTTACGCATTTGTTTTAAATATGCCTCGAAATCAGAACGAGGAGCTGCATCTGTGAGGCATAAATCTATTAAACCAGTAATGCCCGCCAATGATGCACGAATATCATGGCTTGCACCAGCCAAGGCAAGACTCTTGTTCATACTTTTTCTCTCGGCTTGTTGAGTTGCTTCCATTTGTTTTATGAGCTTGGCATACAAGCACATCTTCCTTTCCGCTGTTCTGACCATTAAGAGTACAAAACTAAAAATGGATATAATCACCATGACAATCATTACTACAAGTAGAATGAGAGAAAGCTTGCTGTTCATGTGAACAAGGCTTACTAATCCTTCATGAGGCAAAGCCAATGCATATACCTGAAACCAAGCTACAAATTGTCATTAAACACTAGCTAAAATGAATGCCTTATGCGCATGATATGTTATTTTTCCTTCATTAATTTATTCTATTCTCTGAAATGTTTCGCCACTACAAGAGCAAGAAACTAAATCAACATCAAGCATAATCTTGAAAGACTTTGATTCTCTCCCTTATAATCAAAATGTGCTTAGATCATGAAATAA